GATTTCGATTCCTGAAAGTATTAAAATATTTTCATAATAAAAATCTCAGGAGGATTTATGAAGCAGGTATAATATCCATCTCACGCACGGTGAATACTAACCTGGTTTCTTTAATATTTCCCCTTTTTAGCGAGATTGATGCTCGACAAACATACACATAAATTTTGGAACCTAATAGAATAACTTTTCATTTTCTTTTCTTTTTCATTTCAAAATAATCACAAACTTTTAGGAATACGTTATGAAAGCGTCGCCCATGTGACGACAGCGTGACCATGTTAGACGGAAGGCTGATCATTTTAAAAATTTTCAGTTATCTGTTCTGAATAAGACTTGTGTTTTTTATGTCCATCGTATTTGTCATATTGAACTGAATTGTATTTTGATGAATATTGTCTTGAAAAAAGGTTTAATAAACCGAAACGTCAGACGTCGACATTTCTTTCATTTAACTACATTTAATTTTTTTTGTTTGTTTTTCAAAATTTCTTCATATATATATATATATATATATTTCATACATGTTTTATTAAATAATATAGACAAGTGTTGTCTATTTATTTTATGTAAATTCTTTTCATAACGTCTGATAAGCTTAATAAAATTATCATTAAACGAAAAATTTACATAAAATAAATAGACAACACTTGTCTATATTATTTAATGAAACATGTATGAATGAAAAATGCTTCCTAAATGCACATAACTTATATATATATATATATATATATATATATATATATATATATATATAAATTCATGAATCATTGATATAAAAACAAATATAGAAGTTAATGATTTAAATGTCGAGAATACATCCTCGCAAATAATATCAATAAGATACACCAACCCCCGAACCTCTATATGAATGATATGATCCCTGTTTATAAATTCCAGTTGCATAAGGTCTTTTTAATTTTTTGCAAGCTTTCGTCTGTTCCTACAGACATCCTCAAGTATGGAAATAGATTTTTTTCTTGTTTTTACTTCTCGGTAATAAGAGGACAACGAAAATAGAGATGTAATCCGAAAAAATGCTATGAGAAATGTGTTATTGTTTTGGAACGTGCGGTCGCAACGCTGAGTTTGAATTTTAAATTTTAAGGTTGTGCGTTTTTGTACAAATATCGGAATAAGAGAATTCTTTTGTACTGGTAGGTTTTCCGTCAATGTGGCATGAACTATATTGTTCAATAATTACAGGAATGTCACACTTATTATCCGAAAGTTGCACGTTGGATCAGTTATTTTAATTTCAATTATAGGTGCAATTTTAATTTATAAATTCATGAATCATTCATACAAAAAAAACTGCAACTGGAATTTATAAACAGGGATCATATCATTCATATACAGGTTCGGGGTTGGTGTATCTTATTGTTTGCGGGGATGTATTCTCGCCATTTAAATCATTAACCTCTATATTTGTTTTTTTTGTTTTTTTTGTATGAATGATTCATGAATATATATATATATATATATATATATATATATATATATATATATATATATATATATATATATATATATATATATATATATATATATATATATATTGGGTTGGTTCAGTTGAAGTTTTGCTAACTTTTTTAATAAAAATATTATTTTATTTTCAGGTTATAAAGCTGCGTGTTGATAATCATACGCTCCGGAATAATCACTTAAAATGTTACTGTTGAATTGTTATGTTTCTTTTTTTAAAATAATAAATATTGTTTGAAAACGCCTGATAATTATGCACCAACCAAATATTTGTGAATTTTCACTCAGGAGCGCAGGCAGAAGGATTAAAACTGTTTAAGAAGGCAGGGCTCAAAGGGTTAATGGTAGTAATAGCCCCCCCTCTTTTTACCATTGTTGTAGTGGTAAAGGTCTAACTAACAATCATATTAATACTAATAATGGTAATGCTACGAAGTTTATCAATCTTCATAGTAGCGTCTGTAGTGTTTGTAGTAGACTTAATAGTAACTGCATTAATTATAGTGGTAATAATCAACGTAATAATGTTACTCGTATTTGTAGTAATCTTTGTAGTAATCATAACCGCCCGGTTCACACACCTCCGTTGTCTTATAAAGAGAGGTGCATCTTTTAAACCTAGAACACTAACCATGGGTATATAGTACCCCAACGAAAATTTTCCTGTTTTTAATTACAATTTTCAGTACCTGATTTTCTTGCCTAAATAATATGTTTTTCAGTTCGTATTAATGTTAACTCAAAGGCTTACGGTCAAATCACGCTGAAACACCGGTTCTCGTACGATCACCGAAGTTAAGCAGCGTAGAGCCAGGTCAGTACTTAGATGGGGGACCGCTTGGGAACACCTGGTACTGTAAGCCCCCAAAGTCCAACCCTTACCTCACAGTCGGTGGGGGAGGGGTGTAAACGGTAGTGTCAGAGCTATGCCGCCCGGAACTTCGTTCCTGGTAGGGCCACCTAAGGAGGACATGTCTGACACACACGCCGGCTAACAAAGGCTCTGGTGAAAATCCAGGGAGCGTCTGCATCGGTAACCGGCGGCTTCTGGTCGTTCCTGTCTCTGCTTCTGTGGGAACCCCGCGGCAAGCAAGAACGTTATCCGAGTAGGCCTGGGTACCCTACTTCTGTAATTTATCCCAAGAATCTTCTTCTCATAACAGGAAGAAGCCGGCTCAATCCGCCCAGGGTGAATGCCGCATCAGTACAGTACAGTAGTAACTCAAAGTACAAAGTTTGGTGTGCCTCCATGTAAAATATTTCCTGTTTAGTATTGGGTTTCAAGTTCCTTCTAATGTCTACTTCAGTTGTATACTTCTGACCTCTCCACCTAAACTTCAGTTGTTTTTCACTAATTAAATGTCTTTTTTTCTTCTGCTCTTATTTGGGGAGAAAAAATTATACTGTGAGTGCTGAATAATCTCCTCATATACGAAGATAATCTCCTCATATACGAAGATGAGACTTGAAGCAACAGAAATGTGGTTTTGCAAAAGGTTGCTGAGAACACCATAGACTGAACGCGAGTAGCGAGGAACAGTTAAGGAAAATAGAATATAACTGGTGACTTATATTAAGAATTACTTGAAATTTCCGGGGAAAATTATGAACAAAGATGGCTGGGAAAATTTAAAACTCACTGCACAGGGTGATGGCAAGACAGACAGATGGAATTGTAGCATTGTTGTTGTGAACGACGAACGTCGGTGTTGGCAATATTATAATGACGGTGTTACCATTGTTGTAATGGTTGAGTACCATTATTGTTGTGACAGTGTTATCAATATTTAACTTTGGCTAGGAAAGGTGGTATTAAGGACAATGCGTGGACGCAATGCAATTTATATTTGACGTAAATAGCACATAGAATAAAATACAAAACTGAACGGAATGATTTCAAAACATAACAGTTGAATCTATTAATGTTTGATGTACATGCATGCGAACTAAAAAGGTAGGACAGAGTCGTGTCCCTTTGATTTGGTAATAGTTGTACCTGTGTTCATATTAAAAGGAAGTAATATTAAACTGTAATTTAGAAGAATAAAGTTTGGAATTGTGAGTTGTAAAGTTGGTAAAAGTTCAGAAGAGATTTCAGAGTTCGTACTTGCGTGAATGTTGGTAATGGTCTTTAACATCTGGCCGCAATGGCTAAGACGGGAGTTCTTGAAGATTACATCTTGGCACTTGGTAGCACTGAATGAAACGTGCGAGAGAGAGAGAGAGAGAGAGAGAGAGAGAGAGAGAGGGGGGATGAATGAAAAGAAAACTACTCGAGGGAGTTTACACGTGTTGGGTTTATATAATCGTCGTGTACAACGTGACAGGCTCCCAGCATATGATCGGGAAAACAGATTGGTCGCGTGAAGGCGGTTTGATTGGTCGGGACTGACCAATAAGCAAGCTAGATTGAAGGTGATTGACGAATGAATACCTGTTATATATTTTATAAGATTGTGATGGTGAAAATTATAAGAGGAATAGTGCATTTCCTAGCAGGGGTTATCTAGCTTGTTGTGGAAGAGTCCACAGGATAATTAACTTACCCAACGAGCTTGTTGAGTAAATGGTTGGCAGAACAATGATAGTAAAACGGCATCCATTGCTAAGAGATACAAAAGGCAGGAAGTTATGGAGAACCATATTCCTGAAGGGGAACGTCAAATAGAAAAAGATGAAGATGTAACTGCCGCTTTCAAATGGTAGCGGAAAATCACCGCATTCTGTATATACTCCTAACATTTAGTCTCGCAGATATGGGAAAAAAGAGTGTGACATCTCCCCAATAACTGTTTACCTGTAACCCTTCACGTAGAGAATGTAAGAACGTTAGGAAAGAAAAAAAAAATTGGAAAAAGCAGACGTGCAGTAAAAAAATTGTTACTGCGAGAAATACGTAATTAAAGTCTTTTTTTTTTCCTAGGAATTACGACAGAATCTCTTAGCCACTTTCGAACACGGGAAAACATTCCTGAAACACAAATGGTTGCCAACAAGCGCCGTCATGCATCAGATAGAACCCAGGAAGAACGGTCGCGTGTGTCTGTTCTTCCGAGTCAGAAAACCAGAAGTTTTAGCTTCGTTAAACACGCTTTCCGACCCCTGAGACCATTCAAAGAATGACGCATCGGTCAAGTGCTTCACTCTTTTGAAAAACCGCCAAGAAGATCCATTTCTCTGTGGGCAGAGAAGTTAGGGGTACCTGGCTATTGGCGTTATATCAGACGAAATAATATTGTACATTTTATGGGACTGGATTTTCAAGCCAAGAGAAAGTTTTTGGCTATAATTCTTAAATATCAAACGAATTAATGTGTTTCAACAGATGGTGGAGAAAATGGTACCGAAATACAGATGCTCATTAAATAGCGAATGATACCTTTCAAATTTAAGCAAATAATGAAAAAAAAAGACAGAATCGAAAAATAAAAAAGCAGACTTTCCTGACAAACACAACGATTCAAAAGATATATTGTTCTACCTACTAATTCTCTGACAACTACAATCGAAAAAATTTGTCTACACCCGTCATAAAATTTTTACAGCTACATCTAAATAATAAAAGACTTAATCAATGCAAAACAAAACAAGAAGCCAAAACTTGAAGGAGGAATTTAATCTGTCACCTGTAACAATTGCCAGAAAGAATATATTGGAGAAACCTCTCGAATTTTAAGTAAATGTTTATATGAATATAAAAGAGACATTATAGGAAAAGAACACATAAAACGCATTAGTTGCTTACCATAACAAGTCTGACCACAATTTTGATTTTGAAAAATAGCTACTCTAATTAAAAAGTGGGAAGAATTCAGTAAAACGAAAATGCTAGGGGAGGGCTTTAATCGCTAGTTCATTCACAGAAAATCTGTGTCCATTTTTTTTACAAACTTTCACTATTTTTTAGAAGATCTTCCATTATCACACAATGATGTAATATATATATATATATATATATATATATATATATATATATATATATATATATATATAGTTGTATATTTGGGAAGCAATCCTTTCCTTTATGTATGTTTCATTAAAAACGACAGACAAGGTACTACGATTGAGCTTTTTATTTAATTTTCCTTCTGTACGAAAAAGAGCTTTCTTTTCTGGACAAAGAGTGTGTAAGAACTGTCCGAATGTTTTATATTTCCGAGCTCTTTCGGCTATGCTTTAGCCATTATCAAGGATGATTCGAATTTTCAGCTTAATTGAGTGTGTGCGTTCTGTGTATGTCTTAGTGTGTGGTAGTGATGTTTTTAATTTCTGAATACGGTTATCACATTGTGGCTTTGTTCATAGTTAATATTGTTTAGAGTTGGCTTTTTCTTTTTTATTATTAGAGCTTCCATTATTTTTAGTCTTTTTTTTGCAGGTGGATGCAGTTAATATATTTCTGTTTTCTACTAGCATGTTCCTAATGGTGTCTGGTAAATCTGAGTGTGTGTTTAAATGTGTTCTGATGGAAATATAAAACATTCGGACAGTTCTTACACACCCTTTGTCCAGAAAAGAAAGCTCTTGTCAGAACACAAGAAAAATTAAATAAAAAGCTCAACCGTAGAGATAAAAATGATTGAAAGATGTAGATGAAGAATCTAAATTAAATTGGCTAGATTAGACTGCTAACACACAAAAATAAAAAGAAAGATATTTTTCGAAATTCAAAATTCCCACCGTTTCTCGTTAGTGCGCATGTGTAGTCGCATCAAGGTAAACAAAATTAGTCCGATGAAATCGTAAGGTCGAAACGCGTCACTCGAAAACTTTTTCCACTTTGTGTATATATATATATATATATATATATATATATATATATATAGCCATGGCCCAAATTATGGAGCACCTATAAAAAATTGAGATAATAGTTTAAACCTACGTATTTCAAGGTTAAGAATCGTCCAGTGAACAATTGAGAGCAAATGTAAAACAGTAGATTGTAGTATTTTTTTTGCTTTAAAGCCTCTGTCAAGAGCTTTAGCTGAGTTTCGTACTAAATTCATTCCAATATTCAAAATGATTTATTGTCATACTAAAGGTTGTTTCGTAATTTTCAGGTAATATTTGATTCCTACCAGTGTATATTTAATTGAAAATGCCTTCAAAGAAGCAGCTTTCAGAGATTAAAAGGGCACAAATAGTTGCTTTGTCTGGTGAAGGATATTCTCAGGTAGAAATTGCCAGGAAGATGGAATGTTCAAGGAAGGGGGTTCAAACAATGATTAAAAGGTACAAGAAAACAAAGTCTTTCAAAAACAGAAAAAGACAAGGCCGTAAAAAGTCTACAACCGCCAGGGAAGACAGATCTTTGAAAAGAGCATCCCTTGCAGATAGAAGAAAAAGTTCTTCAGAGCCTGTTGCTGAACTTAGGGAGGATGCAAACAAAAACATATCAGCTCGAACAGTAAGAAGAAGGTTATTAGAAGTGGGATTAAAAGGATGCAAAGCCAGGAAGAAGCCATACTTGTCTCAGGCCAACAAGAAAAAATGACTGGAATTTGCAAAAAACCATGAAAATTGGACACCTGATGATTGAAGCAAAATTGTTTGGTCTGACGAAAGTAACTTTGAGGTAAGTTAACAGCTTCTATTTCCTAAACTTTGGATGTAATAATTGAAATTTTTATGTGAATACACATCCATAACATTTATTCAAAAATTGTAACAAATTCTTTTTTTTCATCAGATTTTTGGCACCCCTGGAGCGGTTTATGTTCGCCGTAGGGAAGGAGAGGCATTTCATTCTGATTGTGTGGTTCCAACTGTAAAATTTGGAGGAGGAAGCGTAATGGTTTGGGGATGCATGGCTTCTTCAGGCACTGGAATGTTGTACACATGTGAGGGCAGAATGAACTCCACAATTTATACTAACATGCTGGACCAGGTTTACCGAACCTCTTTGACTAAAATATTTAATAATAACATTCCAAGTGATGTAATCTTCCAACAAGACAATGCTCTATGCCATACGTCAAAAGTTTCAATCGGTTGGTTTGAGAAAAAAGGGATTACAGTGATGAAGTGGCCCCCTCAATCCCCAGACCTAAATCCCATTGAAACTTTGTGGTCCTATTTAGGGAAAAGAGTGAGAATGCACAAATGTTCATCAAAAAAAGAATTAGAGGCTAAACTTCATGAAGATTGGCAGAAATTAGATTCTACAACCTGCAACAACTTAGTCAATAATATGCAAAAACGAATAAAAGCTGTTATAAAGGCAAAAGGAGGACATACCAAATGTTGATTGTTGTTATTAATGTTCACTCGACTATTCTTAACCTTTAAATATATAAGTTTGAATCATAATTTCGATTTTTCATTGGTGCTCCATAATTTAGGCCAAGGCTGTATATATATATATATATATATATATATATATATATATATATATATATTTGAATGTGTTTTCTATGTATGTTTCTTCTTTAAATAAATATTGGGGACTACAAATTCTTAATGCTCTTAGATAGAAATTTATAATAATTCCAGATTTAATTTTTGAAGAGTGCTTTGAGTAGAAACTGATTAGATCATTTTTCTTTGTAGCCTTTCTGTAAACGTCAAAATTGAGTTCGTTATTATTTCTAATTAATAAAACTCAAACGAACTCAATTAGTCGAATTCGCCAAAATAATTTTAAATACTACAAAACTGCGAAATTTTCCGAAAGTTTTCAAACATTGTTTTAGTTGTTATCACCCCCCCCCAATGCAAGGCAGTAAAGCCATTAATAGACAAGGGTCTAGAAGTGAGTGGAAGAATTAGGAACTGAAATATTAATGATGAGCGGGAAGACAAAAAAGTAATCAAGAGGATATTTTTCCAGAATGTTCTAAGCTCTTTGCCAACGCCATTGTTAACATATGCCTGCACTTTTTATTTTTTTATGTGCCGTTTCTGTTTATGACGTTTGCCGATCATAGCCCTCCACAACTTCCTATACTTCGTAACTCTTAGTAAGGTTTTTTTCATCTCTCCCATGCGATGTTATACAAGCTCCTTAGGTAGTTTCTTCTGTCTCCTGCCATTCAGTATATCCTGTGTGTATCAGATTTTCCAAGCCGTTTTTCCTCATTAACTGCCCTAAAAATTACAACGGCCATTTTCATATTCTTATTATATGTATCCTTTTTGTGTACATTTTCCTTAAAACTTCCTCTTTACTCACATATGCTATTCTCAGTATCCTTCTGTAGAACTACATTTCTACTGACTGAAATCTCTTCTTCATCTGTGAGTAGAGTGCCTTAGAGAAAGATTGATATGTGATAGCGCATTAATACACATTTCCTGGCTTCTAAAGAAATTTTCTTTTTTCGCCATTTTAATCAAATTTTCATCTATGTACACACTACAAATGTCTCGAGCAGCGTTTGGAAGATTTATGACCTTAATTGCGATGTTGAACATGTACCATTCTCGTCTGCTTTGGCATTCCATATCAAACTTCAATAAAATGTCAAGACAACAGAATGACCAGAGTTCCTAAGAAGCGAAAATGCAACGAATGATTATTCTTCGAGATCATTCGAAGAAGGTAAAAAAATACCAACGATTATGTGCAACAACCTATTAAATAGTCTCTTTGTATATCCGTTTAACATAATTAGCTGCGATGAAGAAAAGGGAAGAGAAGGCGCTGACTAAAAATTGTAAGAAGGAAGAAGTAAGGTCCAAGAATGCCAAATAAGAATTGTTAATGCAAGAAATAAGTAAGCAGAAAAGTTTGTGGAAACTGTTTTAACTGATCGTGGAAATTGTGACATCGAATCACGAATATGCCATACAAAAGCTAAACAATATATTAAGATACAGGAAAAATCTCGTTAGAAACAAAGAACAGAGTACTAAACTGTTATCTAATATCAGTCCTCCTATATAGAGAATCTCCTCGCAAATGAAGAAGAGACAAGAAGCAACAGAAACAAAGAAAAGAGTGCTGAACGGTTATATAATATCAGTCCTCCTATATGGCAGTGAATGATGGACAAACTCCTCACAGATGAAGAAGAGACTTGAGGCAAGAGAAACAAAGAAAAGGGTGCTGAACGGTTATATAATATCAGTCCTCCTATATGGCAGTGAATGATGGACAATCTCCTCAAAGATGAAGAAGAGACTTGAGGCAACAGAAACAAAGAAAAGGGTGCTGAACGGTTATATAATATCAGTCCTCCTATATGGCAGTGAATGCTGGACAATCTACTCACAGATGAAGAGGAGACTTGAGGCAACGGAAACAAAGATAAGGGTGCTGCATGGAAATTGTGACACCGAATCTCGAAGGTGAGTTAGATTAGGAAAATATGCCTTACAAAATCTGAGCAAAAGAAGATGAGACTTGTGGCAAGAGAAAACTAGCTTTACGGAAGGATGCTGAGAATAGTATAGACTGAATTTCTGAACGACGACAACGTTTTTAAGGAAAACGAAAACAAAAAACGACTCTTTAGAACCAGAGAGGGACAGTTGAAAATTTGAGGACACATAAGAAAAGCTTGAAGAATTTGACTCTCAGAGGACATATTGATGGCAGGAGGGCCAGACGAAAGAAGAGCGTATCATACCTAAAAAGCTTACGAAACAGACAGTCGTAGGAGCATTAAAAAGATAAAATATTACTTACGAGTTACAAAAGAAAGGAAGTTGTGAAGGGTCATGATTGCCAACGTCCTGAAGAGGCAGATCAGATAGAAGAAAAAAGACCATCTCCAAAAGGTCTTGCATTATAAACTTGCTCACTTCTCACAAAACTAGTTCCCCATTATTCTGAAGTTCGTCTCTGTCTAAGAATGCCTTGTGCCTTACTTTAGGGGTTTTACTTCTCTTTCATTTATTTTACGAGGGCGTCGTTTTCGAGGCATATTCGTACTCAGGCCATGTTCCTTCGATTTTCGAACGGAATCGAAATCGTACTAATTGAGCCCGCTGGTGTATGTTCTATGTACAAGCCCGTGTGTGCCATGGCCAATTATCACCTGACGAAGACCTTATGAGAGATTCTTTATCATTGGCAATGCGGGAATCTTCGGACGTGACAGCTAGACCTTCGATGATCATTTGAGGTACGCGTTGATGTTATAAATTGCAGTTCAGCGTAAGTGGTATATTTCGTCTGGTCGGCGGATTCTCGAATATTAATAACTTGAATTCCAATTCTCGTCCTGTTTAAAATATAATTTTGGAATATGTAACAAAGCTTTTGAATATTACATGTATGGCATAGGCAAAATTATTATTGTATTAAAAATCGTGTGTGCATTACATATATGGCTCATGTAATCATATATATATATATATATATATATTATTTATATTATATATTATATATATTTTATTACATATATTATATTATATTATATATATATATTATGTCTATATATATTTACATGTGACATATTAGGTTAATTCTTTAAAATATATGTATATATATGTGTGTGTTTATGTGTGTGTTTATGTGTGTGCGTGCGTGCGTGTATTTAAAACGATTGACCTAATATGTCTCATGTAAATATATATTTACATGAGATATATTAGGTCAATTGTTATTATATATATATATATATATATATATATATATATATATATATATAACAATTGACCTAATATGTCTCATATATATATATATATACACATATGTATAAAACAATTGGCCTCATATAATCTTACCACCACACAACTCAATCCTCTACAAAAAAAAAAACAATGCAGTTTATCAATTTACATGGCCGTTCAGAGATTGTATGTCTAATACTAATAATAAAGCCACTACATATATTGGTTTTACTACAACTACGCTATCCCATAAATTTACTTGTCACCTTTCTGATCTTATAAAATCCAGGAAATATTTTGTTGTTCTTGGTCTTCCTTTATCTGATTTATATCCGAAAAAAATGTTATTTCATCTGAAGAATATTTGAATATCAATGACCCTTTGTAAAACAATTGCAAATGCCAAAATATTCTTTTTTCCGGTGATATTTATATCTTATCTAGTTATGTGACACGTTTATTCCGTTTTAGCATCTCCTTTTTTTTTTTTACACTGGTCTTATGCATATCTCCTTTGAATATTTTTGTCGTGTACCATATGTTGAAATACATTTTTAATACTCAAAATCTTATATCACCCAAGAGAATATCCAATCTTCTGTTCAGATGCTCATCGCCTATCCAACAGTTTAAATCTCCTAGCGGTGGGTGACATCGCCCTTATTGGGATATCCTGCTGTAAATAGTTCTTAGAGAAAAAGACAACAAGAGGAAACGCTAAACTTATTTCAATGCGTAAAGACGCTTGACACGCATTAATATGCTATTCGGCCATCTCATGAAAGACAGAAATTTCGTGTGAAAAATGCTGGCTTCCGGTTCTTGTTCAAAAAAAAAAACGACATTAAGCAACGTCAATTCTAGTCAATAAATAGATGAGTGACTGCTTAAGAATATCGTGTATGTAACTTGTTCTCGTTGCCTGCGTGTAATTCTCGTCTATGGAATTCCTTTACGGTACCTTTCTTATCTGTCGTTTACGATAATCAAAAATATAAATGCAACACCAATAAATATATGAATAGTGAGTTCGTTCCTCACTGTGTGCTCCTAGATTTCGGCTTTGTTATAGGACGATTGATATGACACAGAGGCTCAACACGCTACCCTTTAACCGATATTTTGGGATCTCTTGCTACCTTACTTAGATCTGGGTAGCAAATTTCGCCGCCCCGATGTGTCTCAGGCATTATGTCTATTCATAATAATTCGTTCTCTATTATTTTCTCGCTTTGGACGTTGACGATCATGGCTCTCCACAACTTTTTCTCTTAATGATTCAGATAAATACTTTCTTTGAAATTGTTCCGAGGAGCTGCATTCGCTGGTTCCCAGACGTCATGAGTTCCAGCGCCCTGCGAGGCTGGCATCCCGCTCTCACCCTTTCACTGTCGAAACACATAAATGTAGCCGTCTCTTCTACTCCAATAGCTTCATGTCTTGCACCTCTCGCCTGTGGAACTCCCTTCCCTATTCCCGTTTCCCCGTGAGCTATAATCTCCAGCTATTCAAGTGTAATGTCAATCGACATCTCCAGTTGACTTGATCTATCCACTACCCTCATCCTTTCTTCTATCACTCCTATCTGATCTTTCTCTAAATTTTCTATAACCCCTTGCGTCTTAGTGGATTCCCGCCTTGCTTGGGGTGAAATGTTTAAAAAAAAACAAAAAAAAAAAAAAAACAACTAAATTTACAGGGAGCGATGTATAAATTGTCGTCTAAATTACGAATTATTTACACTCAATTACATGCAAATACACTTAGGAAACATATGAATCAATCTCTTCGCTCCACGCCCAGCTATGGGTAAATAGCAGGGCAGGCGGGGGTCCATTAGTCTTGGATGGCAACCAGTCTCTGAGAAGGAAAATTCTTAATTCAAAACCTGAAGTGGCGTCGTTTGAAGAACTTATGATACATTATGTGTACTCGTTCAATGTATTCATCACTTCCAAAAAGTGTGATTAGTTCTACACAATGCCTTCATCATCATCATCATCATCGTCCTTCGACCTTCTACCTTCCTGTTGTTGGTAGGAACTCCTTTAACAATCCCTTTCCACACCCGTCCTAGGTAAAACAATAAACAACATACGCGTCCTGGGTAAGACGAAGAATTACGTCCAACAGCAAGTCCTCTGATCAGAAGGTTTTGAGGAACGTGGAACCACCATTCCCAGGGCTGGTAGCACTTGTTATGGCCTCAGTTTTGGACAAATAGTTAACCCACAAACTGAGGTAAAAACACTATGAAAGTTTACAAAATAGATACCAATAATAAACTTTTTGGGGAAAAATACATTATTACCAGAGATAAGTTATTTCCAGCAATACATTTTTGAAGGAAAAAAGATTACCAGTAATAAATTTTTGAAAGAAAATATATTACCACCAATATATTTTTGAAATAAAAAATATTACGAGCAATACATTTTTGATGAAAAAAAAATATTACCAACAATACATTTTCGTAAAAATATTACCAACAATAAAAATCTTGTCAGCATTGAATAACCCATTGAGGTTGATATGCCATAAAACAATACAATCCAAACCGTGTCCACACTGCTCGGTCTTGAATTGCCGTCGTCAGATCCCATATATCCAACTCTGAGTCCAGAACCATGGTGTCTGGGAAAGTCAACTTTCGCGAAAAGACACCTCCAGAAGGATGCCATAGAAGTAAGATGATTTCCTTGTGTTCTTTCGCAATGGCCAGCAAACTGCAATCGCATTTTGGTGAGTGTTGTAGAGTAGTTTTCACAGTAGAGGCTTGTATTTCACTAAGTCGGTCCTAAAAAGGTTCGACGTTCAAAACGTTAGGAACTTGAAATAATAGTTAATGACGCAGCAATCTAGTTGTGGTGGTTGATACTTTAATGTCCGACATCGACTGACTCGACCAACTCTCTGAGCTCACCGGCGACTGCTACTACTTATTATATGTGGCAGAGTCTATTAACAATAGAATAGGTATGTTCTAGTATAACATCCCCCACTAAAACTTTACTCCGTAGGAGTAAAAAGTTTTATTTATTTATTTTTTTATTTTTTACAGAAAATATCAAGAAAAAACCAAAACAATTTTTTTTCTCTTTTTAGCAACATCGTAGCGTATTTCGTATGTTTTTTGATCCATTTTTAAATGATCAGTTGCCTTTCTTTTTTTTCTTCTGGATCGGCGTACCTCAGGTAAAATTATTTGCAGGTGTTGTTAGATCAAACGTATTGAAAATCACCTCCATCGGCGTTTTTTTTTTTTTCTTATTTTTTTTCATCGCGGGACCGCTGTCAACCACGTCTGAAAAACGTCGTCTGATCTCGTCAGTTTTTCCCCTTTCACCAAGTACATCATATAGCCAATCCGCTTTTCTATTTTTTTTTTATACCTCCATAGTGTTACCAGAAACAACCTTCCGCTTTGAGCTTCTTAAGGATAGAGTCACAGTTTCTGTAGGTTCTTCTTGTTGTCTTAAATCATTTAATAATACTGCATGTTCTTGGCTGCGGCTAACTTGTTCCCCAGTTTTTGTCGGTGTCGATTTCATTTTTACTTTCTGAAGCTTGTTTTTCACATATATCGTCGGTGTTACCCATTCAACTTTTTAAAATTTACCGGTTTTCTCACATCTGTCCAATTCTTTATCTATCTGTTCAATTGAAGCAAACAACACATTCCTTTACTTTTTGAATACCACCTGAGCAAATTGTTTTGGCTGTAATTTTGCCTCCATCTTGGTACACGTTCCCAAACCTGGAGAAAAAAAAACAGGAGGAAATGTTCCCTTAAGTTTCTTTACTAATTTTGGGGCTTCGTAGTTTAAAAAATCTACCTTGTAACAGAAAGAATTTATCGGTAGATCCCATAATTGGAATTCTGTTATCCAATCCGTACCAAGTTCGTGGTATTTTCTATGACAAATAGTTTACCTTTTCACGTTTTTTTTTTATTTAACGTGACATTTGTAACCCATTCTCCAATAAATTGTATTTTTCACCCATCAGTGACCTCGCGATTTTATTTGTTTTCATTAAAGTTGTTTTCGCCAACTTCTTCTACGTATGCAAATTTATGATAGATAGGTCGGAACCAGTGTCGAGTTGCATTTTTATTTTTTTATTACTTATTTCGACGGTAACAAATTTTCTAGTAATTCCATCGTTGATCTCGTCGGACTTTAAATTTCTTATTTTATTGTCTTTATTTTTTGACCTGCAGTGCGAGCTTTTATGTCCCACTCTTTCACAGTTGAAACATTTTTTTATTCCTAAAATTGCAATATCTGTACCAGTGAAGTTCACCGCAAGCAAAACATGGCTTCGGGAGTTTTTGTTTATTTTTCTCTGGTAATTCACTTTTTGTTTGATAATCCGCAATTTTAGAATTCTTTTTGGTAGACTGACTTTCTTTTTTGTAGCGTATTTTCCTTACATACGAAACGCCAGACTGTTCTATCTTTTTCGAATCTTTCTTTACGCTGACATATCTTGTGCAGTTTGCT